TTAAACGTAGGGAATACGACCGTACATGATTCGATCTCGGTATTTATAAATTAAAAAAATAATTATGTTCGAAATATCCTGTACGTCCGCGCTTCGTTCGTCGCATTTCACTGAAATTTTGTTATATTTTATACTATATATATTATACATCAACAACAGAAACTAGGTGGTCCATATCGTTATAAGTAAGCTGGTAAATGATACTCTAAGGAATCGTTTGAAATTGTCTCGTCATCGCTTTTGTAGTATCGCACTGCTCGCCGGCGGAGCAGAGTTCCTCTATACGACCACCTTTGCGTTCATTCTCAGTTTCCAGAAATCTTATTTTGCCATATACCATCGGACTTAAAATGAATTATCGGACTTAGAATGAATTTTCCTCCTGGGTTTTTATTTATTGCCTAGCTGAACCGGCAGACTTCGTAGTGCCTCAATCGATGAATAAAAAACCTAAACTTTTGTACAAAATAAACTTAAAACAAACAAAAGGAATCCGTCCGACGGGGGACACATCAAAGGGAAAATAAAATTGTTATTTTTATTTAATTCCGAGCATTTTCATAATTATCTTCCTTTTAAACCTTCACTGGACTTCCACACATAATTCAAGACCAAAATTAGCCAAATCGGTCCAGCCGTTCTCGAGTTTTGGTGAAACTAACGAACAGCAATTCATTTATATATATATAGATTGCTGAGGTGGGTGGACGACCACACGGCCCTTCTGGTGTTAAGCGCTTACCGAGCCCATAAACATCTACAACGTAAATGCCGCCACCTACCTTGAAATATAAGTTCTAAAGCAGTATAGTTACAACCGCTGCCCCACCCTTCTAACCGAAACGCATTACTGCTTCACGGCAGAAATAGGCAGGGTGCGGGTCCCACCTGTGCGGACTCACAAGAAGTTCTATCACCAGTAGTGATACTTCAACAGCTTATTCTTCGCTGAGCCATATGTCCATCTTCGAACGACCTTTGAGGAGAGTCCTCAATGGTAGGCAGCAACTTGGCTGTGACTTTAACATTGCTGATCACTAGCCATCAAATATGCCATATGCTAGTTTATTATACATGCTTTTTATTGCCTTTATAGGCAGACGATCATACGGCCCACTTGATGGTGAGTGGTTACCGTTGCCCATGGACGTCAGCAATGCCAGGGAGAGAGATAAGCCGCTGCCTACCGATGCTAGTTTAATCGATAAAAGAGTTGCATGGGTGGCTGAATTGAATCTATATTTTATTTTTATTGCTTTGATTGGTGCACGAGCTCTCGGCCTACTTGGTTTTAAGTGCTCACCGGAGCCCATAGACGTCAACAAAGTAAATGCCGCCGCTCACCTTGAGACATGAGTTCTAACTCTCAGTATTTATAGTACAACGGCTTGCCTACCTTTCAAGCCAAAACGCATTACTGCTTCACGGCAAAAATAGGCAGTTCCCGCCCGTGCGGGCTCATAAGATGCTCTACCACCAATAATGAAGTCAATTAAATATAATAGTCGTAAAAATAATTGTTTAAAGGGTATTAAAAAATAAATAGTAATTAAAAAAAACGCTTTTGTACCTAACAGAAGTAAAAAAACAGGTAATAACTTTCTACAAGCCCAAAAAATTTTTTGAATGAAAAATAATATCTTTAATGAATACGTGAAGCAAAAACTTTTTATCCCTTTTTACGAAAATTGCGCGGACGGAGGAGTATGAAATTTTCCACACTTATAGGTAATACAGAGAAGGAGTGCAGAATGTTAATATTTTTTTAAATTATGCATAAAACTACATTAAATTGATAAAAAAAATCATTACACACACTACCATGTATTTGACACACACACACACAGGCATACTATTTGCTTATTGTCAAACTTTTCTTATTGCTTATATTCTGTGGTCAAATTGAAAACAGATTGAATATTGTTTGTCTTATAATACCTTTTGTCTTTAATGTAGTCTTGGTGAAATCTGTGATTATAGAAGTCTATTAGTCTTTGACCATGGAATCATAATAGTGCACAAACCTATAATTTCAATTAATTATAGTCGAATTTCGACCACCAGGGGACCACTAGTTTTCGTAAAAGTGTATAGGGTCCTAGATGTCAATTATAATAAATATTTTATTGACATATATTGGTAAGAATAAAGCCATTCTAAAATATCTTAAAGGCACTGCACTTATTCTTTACTTTAAAATGATAATTTTTTTAATCACTCCTTTTTTTTAATATTTTGTATTTTTTAGTTCAGCTAGCTAAACTAAACTATTATTTATTTTTTCTTTTTAGTATTTAACGATAAAAATTACACACTAAACAGGTTATTAGGTGGTTTTTTGATTTATTTCGTAATCTAACCATTTCAATTATTACATTTTTTTTTATTGCTTAGATGGGTGGAAGAGCTCACAGCCCACTTGATGTTAAGTGGTTACTGGAGCCCATAGACATTTACGACGTAAATGCGCCACCCACCTTGAGATATAAGTTCTAAGGTCTCAGTATAGTTACAACGGCCGCCCCACCCTTCAAACTGAAACGCATCACTGCTTCACGGCGCTGAGTAGTGGTACCTACCCGTGCGAACTCACAAGAGGTCCTACCACCAGTATGAGACAAGTTCTTCTATCCGATGATAGGTTCTCTGACTAGATATCCAAGAAAGATAGCGGGCGCGCACACGCATTAGTAGTCGTCACAAGACACTACCGTCCTCTAACTGTCATTGATTCTGAAGATCCTGTTTAGGATAATCGCAAAATTAAATTCAATTATTGTACTGTTATCGGTCTTTGATAAGTGCGCGAAATTTCAATATAATCCGACGCTTTACAGTCGGTAAAAAAAACATAGCAAGCCAATGAAAACGTGTTAAAAAGGGGTTTGAAACGAATAGCGGAAATGAAAACACTGAAGAGTCCTACGTCCTGCTGTTACTAAAATTTTCCCCGCAATTAAATAGAACAATCACGAAACGCACGAGTGTCTGAATGATACAATGATATAAATAATTTACGTAATGGCATGTTACAAAAAATATATGTATTTAAATAATACTCAGAAAATTGCAATTTTTAAAAAAAAATAAGAGCTAAATGCAATCGTTGTTCTGTAGATAACTGTAATGTTATCAATGTTCGAATATCGTCACTGACCTCTGACCGTATGCTGACCTTGTTTCTTTAACGTGCATTTATCTTAATTTTGATGACTTCTTATTTTTTGAATTAACCATTTTTTAAATTTCAATTTCATAGAAACGATTTTCTGAGACCTAATTATTGATTACACTGCATTCAATATATACTTTTTATTCGCTTGGGTGGGCTAGACTAGTCAACGGTTGGTCTGATTTTAAGGGGTTTTACAGGGACTTGGTTACTCTTCGATATTGGAGTGAAGTGTTCGTAGCTGCATTTTCTTGGGCTATCGCTCGCTGAAGCCGGAATGAGGGAATTTATTTACGGAAATATAGGTTAACCATTGTGTCAATCGGGGTGCGACCCACTGCGCACACACATGATTAAAAGACGTTTGGTAGTAATTGTTAGGATATCAATACACAGGAGCTTGGCGAGTATAAGACTAGTATTCATTGTTCGAGGAGTCAGGGATCGTGTGCCTGCCAAACAAAGGTCCTTTTTAACCGACTTGAAAAAGGGACCTTCCCAATTCGATTGTATTTTTTGTGTGTTACCTCAGAACTTTATTCTAGACTAATCGCTTTTGATGATCTATGGTCGGTCTCATTTAAAATTTATCAAAATATGATCAGTAGGTTTTAAGTTATCCTTAACAGTGTAAACAATGCATTGGTTTTGCCTATATTGATTATTATATTCTTTCATTTTATTTCTCTCTCATCTCATTGTATTTTGTTGAAGGCGGTTTTTTTTTAAATCAAATCTGGTATTATGGTAATTTGTAAACAGTTTATGACGAAGCCCGAATATGAATATGAATAAACCGTTTTAGTTTGTCCTTGTGGTTAGTTATAAAATGTAAAATTGATTTGTTGCTATACTGTTTAGAGCCAAGCACGTTAACTTAACAAGCAATTTAAAAGCAATTGGTCCCAACAACGAACACTAGAAGGAAAAATAAAAATATTACACATAGGGCACCTTTAACGGTAGGCAGCGGCTTGGCTCTGCCCCAGGCAATGCTGAAGTCCATGGGCGACGGTAACCACTCACCATCAGGTGGGCCGTATGCTCGTCTGCCTACACGGGCAATAAAAGAAACCTCCGTATGCTATAATTTAAAAATAGTGTTATATTATATCAAAATGATGTCTGATGGAATTATAATATATAACAAAATACGTAAAAGGTTATATTTAAATACATATATTAATCATGTATGAACGATCAAGATTAGCTAGCGATTTACAAAATAATAAAGTGGACTTACGTTTAGGGCACAGGGCGGTTTTTTAGGGATGCGCCGAATTTGGCGCGCTACAAATTTAATAATTTTAGAGAACAAAAAAAAAGAAATAATTATGATACGTCAATATATATATATATTTTCAAATACACGTTACGTATCGTTCGTTGTAAGTTGCAAGCCAATGGAAAAGGACACCTGCGTTTCCTGTTCCAAGAAATAGTGTGCGGCGCGATAACGTTTAGCTGCTAAGTTAGGTTTAAGCTTGTTTCATTCGACGATAGACGCTGCATCGAGACGGTTCCATACAAGCTGCACCAGACTTGTGTGGAACCGTCGTCGATGGAAAAAATAATTTTGAAACAACAATTATAATTTTTTCAATTTAATTTTCTTATTTCGAAATATATTTTTTTTAAATCTACGTCGTTTCATCCGTTTACTGTCAGCTACAAATCTGCTTCGGTTCAGTCGATTTTATAGGTTATTGGCGGTTCGGTAAGGTTCTTTTTTAATTTTACCGATCCTATTCTAAAAATTTTAGAATATTTTTAGCACAGTTTTATTAATGTATTGTTTTTTTAATTTAATTTTTCTTTTTGCCCCCAGGATGTCATCACCCGAACATGTGTCGCGGGTTCGCCGGCTCTACAAATTGATCTTCCGGGTTCACCGGGGCTTGCCGCCCGAACTCCGTGTCCTGGGAGACAACTACGCCAGGGACGAGTTCAAGCGACACAAAAAATGTAATAAGGACGAGGCTAAGATTTTTCTCAACGAATGGACGGTAAGTTCAAAGGTCACACTTAATGTTTAGTTGTACAGAATGTTTGTAATGTTTGTCATGTGCTTCACGGTGCTCCAAAATTTCTTGATGATTTTATGTAGTTAGTTAATTTTGTATCTAGTCGTAGAATACGAAAGTTTCTATAGATAGGGCTAAGTTGTTTAATCTCAAATTTTTGCCTGGACTTTGTACGCACCAATGAGCCTATATATGCTCCAATGATTTTTTTAGTTTTTGCACACAAGAACGCAGTTTTAATTCACGCGCCAGTAAATTGATCATGCATTACTTACTGTTCATAGTACCGAGAGGGTATGCGGATAATAAAGCCACCGTTGTATCAATCGAGTATTTATTTTTATAGAAATTCGTACATTCTTAGGTCATCCGTAGTCTTGACGCGGCAAAAACACTGCTTAAAGACAGAATTTATTTAAAAAAACTCACAGTCAGTCTGAGTCTAGATGGTAACTGCAGTATAACAACTCAGAATGTTCTTAAAAAAAACTCACAGACAGTCAGTCTGAGTCTAGATCGTAACTGCACAATAACAACTCAGAATGCTCTAAAAAAACTAACACACGTTCAGTCTGAGTCTAGATCGTAACTGCAGAATAACAACTCAGAATGTTCTAAAAAGAAACTCACAGACAGTCAGTCTGAGTCCAGATCGTAACTGCAGTATAACAACTCAGAATGTTCTAAAAAAAAACTCACACACAGTCAGTCTGAGTCTAGATCGTAACTGCTGTATAACAACTCAGAATGTTCTAAAAAAAACACACACACAGTCAGTCTGAGTCTAGATCGTAACTGCAGTATAACAACTCAGAATGCTCTAAAAAGAAACTCACAGACAGTCAGTCTGAGTCTAGATCGTAACTGCAGTATAACAAGTAACAACTCAGAATGTTCTAAATTCGTTCATATCATTCAACAAAAAAGCATTCATTGCGACTGATAAGAGAGTACCCGTAAATTAGACTAAGAAAACAGTGGACACATTATTGCAGTATAAAGAATTTTTCAATGAATCTATATCTATACTCTATACTAATATTATAAAGAGGAAAGATTTGTTTGTTTGTTTGTTTCGAATAGGCTCCGAAACTACTGGACCGATTTGAAAAATTCTTTTTCCATTAGAAGCCGACATTGTCCCTGATGAACATAGGCTACTTTTTTTTTTTTTTTATTTTTTTTTTTTGGTTTCATGTGTGTTTTAATGTTTCCGAAGCGAAGCGAGGGCGGGTCGCTAGTTCGTTATAAGTTATTAAGATTTACAGTTGAGGAAAATTCCAAAATACTTATCAGACGATTGTGTATTAAAACTGCAAAAACACATTCACTTGATGCGGACGCCGCGCCGGTACCTGGACGGCGATTGTTTTTGTTGTTGAAGTGACATTTGCTCATCAACCGTAATCTGCTTTTATCAATTTTAAAATAGAATAAAACGCACATACATAAAACGGCTGACATTTAGGTGGAACGTTATCCAACGTAATGAAATTCGCATGCGCATTGTTTTTTTTTTTTTGTAACGCATTTATATTTACTATTTGTCCCGCAGTAGTCGAAATTCGACTATAATTAATTGAAATTATAAGTTTGAAACGTTATTATGCTTCTATTGTCAAAGACTATTATACTTCTATAATCACAGATTTCGCCAAGACTACACTACAGACAAATAAAAAATGTTAACCTATTCTCAATTTGATCACAGACTAACAGAGCAACAAAAGTTTGACAGTATACATACAGTATTCATATGCGTGTGTGTCAAATATATGGTAGTGTGTGTAACGTTTTTTTTATTGATTTAATGTATTATTAATGCAATATTTAAAAAAAAATTACCATTCAGCACTCCTTCGCTATATTATCTGTAAGTGTGGGAAATTTCATACTCCTTAGTCCGCGCAATTTTCGTAATAAGGGGTACAAAGTTTTTACTTCACGTATTAATATATAGATAATATTAATACGTGAAGCAAAAACTTTGTACCTCTTTTTACGAAAATTGCGCGGACGGAGGAGTATGAAATTTTCCACACTTATAGAGAATATAAAGAAGAAGTGCACAATGCTAATATTTTTTTAAAATAATGCATAAAAGATACATTAAATCAATAAAGAAAACATTACACACACTACATCCCATGTATTTGACGCAACACGCATGCATACCTACTATTTATTGTCAAACTTTTGTTCTTGACGTCTGTTGTCAAATTGAGAATAGATTAAATATTGTTTGTCTTTGTTAATATTTTTTATAGTGTAGTTTTGGCGAAATACAATCATAATAATGTACAAACTTACAATTCCAATTAATTATAGACGAATTTCGACTACTGCGGGACCACTAGTATAGATTTATTACGTAATACAGAAATATAATTTGGTATGTAACAGATTTGATTATAATAAAACCCATTGCGATTTAGTTTAGTTATATTCTTTTTACTGTTAATTTGCTATTGTTTTATTGTTAATAATATAAGTTATTTCTGCTATATCGTGCTCTCGTTTTTCTGTTCTTTTTTTTATATTGTCTGCCTCTGTTTCATTTTATTTTATTTGCGATTGTAATGAATGTTTCTTTTCTCATTTAAGTAGCTATAGCCTGCGAATTCGTTAACCTTTATGATTATTCTAAAACCGCTAAATATGCTTCATGAACATCACCGTAGCCCGTCCAAATCGATCATACGCACCCTTCAATACATTGCCATTGTCGATTATAAATCAAATTAGATTATTATTATTTTTCTCACTACTTAATCAGTGCATGTGCTTGTCTGTCCAATCGTCTGAATTCGTTATATATTTATGTCGAAATATTAAATGCACATTAACTTACTGCTTAGAACGAGTGATGTAATTTTGCCAATTTACTCGATTTGTATCGCTTTCTCGCTCGTAAAAGATCTGCTTAGGTCTGCTAGAACACAATATCATAACTATGTACTTTCGCAGTGCGAATACATTCTGCGGGTTTATTTATTATTTTTTATTGCTTGTATGGGTGGACGAGCTCACAGCCTACCTGGTGTTAAGTGGTTACCGGAGCCTATAGACATATACAACGTAAATGCGCCACCCACCTTGAGATATAAGTTCTAAGATCTCAGTATAGTTATAACGACTGCCCGCCCTTCAAACCGAAACGCATTACTGCTTCACGGCAGAAATAGGGAGGGTGGTAGTACCCACCCGCGCGGACTCACAAGAGGTCCTACCACAAGTAAAGACTAAATAAAATAAATTGCGTCAACCAGGATTTTTGGAGCCTGTGACTCCGAAAACAGCTTTATATCAGGCGGGCCGTCAGTTCAATTGTCTATGCTATAAACAAAAAAAATACATTACGAATTTAGTCGGATACAAATTATTTTCAACAAAACTTTCTCCTGAGACTTTCGCATAAGAATGATGTCATACATAATTATTGCGACTCGAGAATGAATATTGTTTTGCATATATTTTGTGAGATTCAGCATTTGGAGTCCTTCCCATGACTGTAATTAAATACCTTGGACTTTTGCCCACACGTGTAGAGCCAGCGTGACGTACTATCGCGAGAAAAACGCTGACGCTCATTGTTTTGTTATACTGCACTTATGCGCAGTATAATCGTCCCCGACTCGGGATACAAATGCTAGTCGAGAACATTACTTGTCAGCACATTTCACGACCAACGGATCTCGGTGTGTGGCAATATGGAATTCAAAACAATACTCCGATAAATGAAAACATTGAAACGTGATGTTAGTCAGTTTATTTTTTGTTTTGTCATAGGACTACGCCATTAACCTTGCCAAGCAGATGAAGCCGCTGCACCAAGCCAAGAACAAAATGGTCGGTGAGTACTTAGATCCGAGCCTTCTAGACCACATGAGCGATGAACAGATTGTTCAGTTGTACGAACTCCATAAGGCGGCGTCATCGGAGCCTGATAAGGAGTCATCGGAATCTAGTTTCCATGGCGACGGCGCGCAGCATGTGCCGTCGCGTTGAAGGCTCTGCTTCGTTTCCCGTACAACTCACGATCCAACGCGCTGCAACAACCCAGCGCTGGCGACGCTTCAAAGGTCTCGCCTTTAAGTTTTCACCGTTTTTTTTGTTACTATGGCGGATTTAATTTCAAAAAACATTTTTTTTTAATCATTTCTTTTTAAGCTGTCTTCGGGCACATTTAGTTATGTAGTTTCAACTAAGTTCTAAGGTCAATCCTATAAAAATGACCGTCTATTTCTATCTTTAACATGGGTTTCTATTTTACATTTCGCCGATACTGTAAGATGTAATATAAACTGTAAAATAACGTAACTTTGATATTTATGCGTACCCTCCCGAGAATGTTGTCAAGACTGAACCTGTTTTCTGACTGAAAATTTCTTTAACTAGTCCGTTTAGGCTTTTCCTAGCTATTCGTATACGCCTCTTAGGCATCCCCCAATATTTTGCAGTTTGTATTTAAGAAAACTTAAACAAAGGCTGGTCAGAATGCAGGTTTAAGTATTATTATTACGTAAAATCCTGTGCAGTGAGAAAATAGTTATCGAGTAGTTTTTACGACTTCTTCTCTACTTTTTTACTTCTCATATAGTTATTTTTTAAATATTTTCTTGTATTTTTTAACTGTCTATATTTACGAGTACTTTCGGAACAATCGCTAACTGTATTTACGATGTAAAGCAACATTCAGGTATCATTAATTACATAAATGAATGAAGGAGTTTCTGAAAACCCATCTATACAGAGTAACATTCATGTTTTATTTCGAACCCGTGTACCTTACGTAAATATAGGCCAGTTTCTTTTTTTATATATTTACTATTACTATTACGTCATTAGATAGACTTTAAACAATTCAGTAATATTTTTGTATTTCGGTATCATTCAAAAGGTGTCTGCAACATTAGCCAACTGTTTAACAGTCTTATTTCTTGAACCAAAGGATTTTTTTACCGTTCATTTGATGAACTGAAAACTATTTTGTCTCATATAATTCCCACGGAGCGTCGATATAAATCTAATGTTCGAATCTTAGGAGCATTGCAATTTTGTTGAAAAGTACGCCGATAGGAAAGAAATGTTCCTAAATGGGAAACCGTACATCCTATATAGGAAAACGCTTTCCTGTCTCGCAGGAAAAACGATGTCCTATTAGAAAGCGTAAAGCTAAAAGACTAAACCGATAAGTCTTTAGAGATTCAGGGGTAAATTAACACAACGAATCTTGCACGTTCGTTGCAACAAATGAGACTTGGACTAGCCGGGTTGTCATTCAAAACTGTAGGGTAGCTTCCACTGCGCAGATGTTAAAACACTGGTAGTGGAATCACAGAATAGAACACAGAATGTCGACTGGAAACAGGGCGGACAAAAATACTGTCAGCCCCGGCGTTACGGTCGGCCGAAGATTTCTTTATCTGTTCTGTGGTGATTTTTTAGAGACTTAATGACTACTAGCCATCATGTACCTTATAAGGTGTCTTGGGAGTGATCTACCGGACACCTGGGATCATCGTCAGATTTACACGACAGCAGCTAATTTTATTTTATTTAAGCAGTAACTTAAATATATTCACTTATAATGTATAATGCGTGGTCTTTGTCCCCGTGGTATCCTGAAAGCGTAACACTGTGATTTCAGAATTTCCGACAACACGTTACCAATGTGTATTATAAAGGCGATGGTTGCCGATGTTACTTAAGCTGATAAAATCGTGTGGTTTACTCATCTCCCTTAGACATTAAAATCCCTTTTAGAATTTGTTTACTTTCAGACCTTAATAAATGCACTCTGTAGCGGAACTGAAACTTTTTAATTTTATTATTTGACATTGTCTATTTCAATATAATATCTCTAAACAGTTGTTAGGCCCACCAGCGAAAAGTACCTATCTAGATTAGGAATACACCATAAAGTATATATTTATCGTAATTATCCATTTAGCAAAGACATATACATATATTTGAGATTATTACAAGTGCTACTACCGTACCTTCTTAAAATAGTGAATCATAATATATACTTTTGAGTATTGACAGAACGTGTCAATATCAATCGTACAGCAGTGCCTTTTAATATAGGCCTAGGAAATCGTTGACTAATTGATAATAATAATAATATGTATTATTTTGTACAAAACATATATTATTGAACAGTTATTAAATACAGATGTTTAAATAAAAATTCGGTCTTGTAAATAAACTTGTACAGTATTAGTTTATAACCCAAACAGCGCGACAGTACATATATTCCGTATTTACTTCGACTTAAGAATTAATCATGTTATAATATATTCATTCTGTATGATAAAAAAAAAACCTTATATATTTTTATATTGATATGATTATAATAGTAGATTTTGTATAAATAATCAGCAGAACAGTAACATTCAGTAGTGAAAACCGAAATCAGCACTCTATATTTATAGTATGTACATATTATTTTAGACCACTTGTAAAGATTAATAAATAGCCTAATAGTATTTACTTATATGAAGATAACTTTTATGTAAAAACACCTGTAAAGTAAAATTGCATATAAAAATCAGTACTAAAATATTAGCAATATATTATTAATTATAAACGATATGTATCCGCGTAAATAGATTTATTTGTAAATTATTATCAGCCTAAATTACTTAGTAAATAAACTCGCATAACAACTGTTTAAAGGCATTTCCTAAAAAGTTTTCAATAGCTCTCTTAAATAGATGGCCGCTATCTTGAAAACAAATTAAAAATAATAATAGTATCTCCCATAAAAATAACGTTCAAGTAAACCACCAAACAGCTCCAAAGGTATACCATCTTCCTCATCACTTCATCTCACTGTTACGAAAATATCAAAACAGTTCAATCGTATACGATCTGACGAGAGCCACACAAAGGCCTGCATTCACGTTTTACATCTAGTTTTAGCTGCTATTACATCTAGACTAGAAGATTCTAGAATAGCGTACAGCATTATGCTGTCGATTCTTAGAGATCTCATTAAGTCTTCGTGTACATTACCATTCGATTTTCATCATATGTCTATAACGTCTGCAGTGCAGTATTGTAGGCATTAAGTGAAAACTTAAAGCCGAAAACTCACTAGCAGTTTCGGACGGTATGGTGATTTCGGCGGGGTTCTACGTGCACTTCTTTGATTCTTCACGAGTCATTGATGTACCCAGTGAACTATAAGTGGTTAGTCAGACGGTGATCTTTTTAACGAGTGTGATTCGCGTGCGGATCATACGTTGACCTGTGGTACGACTGTTGAGTCGTGTCTGAGTAAGAGGTCGGAGAAGACGGATTGCACCTTAACCCAAGCATTTGGGTTGAGGTTACAGGAAGATTCAATACCACCAGCAAAGTACCTATTATATGTAGCAGTATTTAATATCGCATAGATATTAAATACTGAACCAGAGTCCTCTCGTAAATTAGACGACTTTGGCGATTTTTTCGTATTTTTTCGAAGTTTATTAGTTAATGCCTTTACAAAGGGTGTTTTCTAATGTTCGAATAAATTTCAAATTCCGATGTATCTCTTTGCACATATAAAACATTTCGTTCATTAATACCGTAATACTATTTGGATTCTTGTAATTTTGAATAATCATAATTTCTTCTGTATCGCTCATTCACAAGTATGATACATCATAGCGCACACATGTATCATATTTGTTTCTGATGTTATATTTTATGTGCAAAGTATCGAATACGCACCTTAGATTTGAACTAAAATATATTTCGACGCTCCGATTTCTTAGTTTTAAGCTGTGTGGTCTATTCAAAGACATTAAATATCCACTTTCAGTGTTAAATGTACTACATATTAATCTACATACGTGCGCAATTAGATGTACCTAGTTAGGTGGGATATGTAATTCGATAACATTTAACTGTAGTTTTAAACTATATTGTGGTTAGAATGCAACCTTCGTAATTCGCTCATATAATAGAAACATTCAATACTCAACGTACCTACTATATACTATACGTGCCATCGAAAAATAAACGAGTCAGTGAAAGTAAGTATACACATTCGGCCTTTTGTAACAGACCGATCGAAACGGTAAGGATGTTATTAAGAGATGCGGAGTAATGACGGCATTGATGACGTATTGTATACGTATATGGTTTAATTTTTTTTTTCAATCGTGAACTATTCCTTCTCCCCTCATATTGTAAAGATTACGAAATTTTGTTAGTACTCATTGATATAAATAGTTCCGGAATCTCCCCTTTGTTTAACAGTGTTGGTGTTAACTGTTGAGAGTTTGTTACAACGTTACGTTACGTTTTTTTTTTTTTTTTACGAAAATGACGTGTTGCCTTGTATTCGTTGATATTGTAAATGTTTATATCTTCCACCACCAAGAATTCACACAGTCAGTCTTGACCAGCAGTCGGCACCGCAAACTGAAACACTAAAGGCGTACAAATGTTTAAATTTAAATTTCTTCTCCTTCTGTACCTCCCGTGCGGTTCGAATGGTAAAAACGATTTTCTAATATTAAAAACACATTCGGGATTCCACGCTCCGTCAGTGAACACATACATAAAATCATCGCGCGTTCATTGTGATTCTTACACGACATGCAGTAGACTGTAAACTTAGAATAAGCGTTAAAGTTTCAAAATTCTATCGTAAGTGTTGTATAGTGTTTAATGCTTAATAGATGCTGCTATACTCTTACTTATTTGCGATTTATTAGTTAAGGAACGTAGAACCTATGTCTGTTTCGGGTTAGATGTAATTGTTAGACTACGGTGGCGTCGTCCGGGAAAATTTATTTGTAAGGAAATTTCAGGTAAAATTTTAACGTAAGCTTAATTCTTATAACTTTGTTTCTATACTATTAACAGTGAGTTAATTTAACCTTGCTAATTTAAACACACACATTAACTATAAATTCGAAATTTCATACGGATAAGCACAAATCGAGAACATTTTAGATTTGTTAAAAAAGTATCAAGTTGTCCTGTGAGTCTCAAGTTGTTCGGTGATTGCTTAGTCTCTACACATCAATGATCACTTGATACTAGAAACGCCGTACGGTCATCTACCAATTTACAGAAATAAGAGAACATATTTAAAAAAAAAGTTGATCTTTTTAAAGAAAATAACCGTTATTACCATGTAAAATTAAGTTTAAATCACAAAATTTTAACGTACACTCTATGATTCAGACCACAAAATAAACGCCAACCATTAATAACGAACGTCATAGGAAACTCACAACTGTGGTCCTTGATCACGTATATTTGATTAATACAGATCTGTATGCAATATTAAAGTACTGACAACAAATACCAAGACGTGCGAGTTAGAAATTAGCTCACTGTGTAATTAATATCTTATACGGCACGCTTTTTTGTGGTGCAAAACAAACTGCACCTTTCTCGTCTGATATAGCAATAATAATCGTAAGTGTTCGATCGTTAAAATTATTGAAGTAGCATTGTGGGTGTGAGAATTGGGATTCAACATATTCATAGAAAATCAAATAATAAAATTGAAGTCATCCAAATCAATTCTCATTAAATTAAAGGAATTCAGTTATCAACAGGCAATGCGCCGTCGTGAACGGTATCTACAAATTATTTGGAATCTTATCCGCAGATGTAATGAGACTCGTTTGATTGTTTCGTAGTCGCCTACGTGTAGGAGAAAATATATATGACTAATTATTTCCTAATTAGATTGGAACCTTTGGAAAAATGCTCTCTAATCAAACTGAGAAATTGGATGAATACGTTATTCATTTGACTATTTCTATTAAAATTCACTGAACGAATTGAACACATTTCGCAATAGTGTAGGACGTCCGATTGCGACTTTAAAGATAAATCACTATTTATATTTTCTTTTGGATATTATGAATTATAAAGTCTAAGTCAAGTCGTGTTTTTAGTTCGCGTTCAAGCAAAACCGACGTGGTATTTGTGAGAGAGATACTCGTTACTACTATCTAAATAAATGAATGTTTAAACATCTAATATTGCTGTGTATATGGTTCGCAAGGGATTGTTTCTATCCGGACCGAAGTACCAGTTTATTTCTGATCTTCTTTTAAAGTATCTGTGGGTAGTCGTGTTACAAAATACTTAAAGACATCTTCAACCACAACTATGTTACAATATAGATGAAAAATTATATTGTTTTCTTTTTTGACTTTCAATATTGTATTCATCCCTGGGTACTATTTTGTTTTTATAATTATTATAATTTATATTGAAACATAGATGTGGCATAAAAAAAAGACCTATCAATTTAGTCTGGACATGGCAACCTACACATGTTTTAAAATGGTCAAAACGGTAACCATATTTAACATCTCAGAAATAATACTGACAGTGAGTAATATTCGACAGTGGGTTTAGTTGTAGGAGCGGGTTGTCTGGTACCATAACTTTCTCTGAATTTCGATGCGCTTGGAAAACAATATTTGATACGAAGATGAATATGATTAAAAAATCATAGTACTATTTACGCATCTAAATTAAGAGGAACATGCATTTCTTTTTCATGTTATTCAAACTACGAAATATTTTTTTTTTAGATTGAATAATAGAAAAAGTATCTCTTTGCAATTTTGAGGTTTGAAAAAGGTTTAATGTTTGAGGGGTATTATTGTTTTAGCGCGATCTAAAATCACATGAGTTGACTTTCTTTTTATAAAATCAATGCAATTTCTCAGTACCAAAAAAGATAGATTTATCACTGGTGTCTTTTTTTTGTTAACATTCAAATAATCAAAAGTCTTAATCAAATAAAACGATTCGGCCTAATAAATATTTTTAGTCACCATTTATTTATACATATTCATTTAGCATCTTTTACCGATATTGGTTGAAATAGATCATCGTTCGTATATCTCATTTCGAAAAACATTTGACCAAAGGTTGCTTTCTAATTATTTTGTTGGTAAAGCTTAAGATCAGTTCTGTCATACGACTCGTATCGTTATGACATGACTCACTCTCGTGGTATTGAAAATGAGGTCCGATTTACGAGAGAAACACTTATTCGTCAGAAAAGAATTCGTCAAAAACCTTGATACTAGAACGCTCTCCAAACACGATAGAGATGTAGAACTTAAATTGTCTCCTGAATAACAAGTAGTGGCAACCGTCGAGATTTTCGATCGAGTCTTGCTCAGATCTTATTATTCGTGCTGTCCAGTAAAGAGATTCACTTGCGTCATCCAACTCGCACTTTGGAACAGTGTTACTTCTTATTCAGCAATAATTTGGTTAGCTTTTTATTCCTAAGCGTAGATCTTAGATCTAGATTTCATATAGTTCGGAAACACTATTATTATGTACGTTTACTTCTTTAGGAATAGATTTTTCGTAATTTGGCAATACTATATAGCTTAACTACCCACTTCTCGATGGATCTTGATATAGCTTGTCTCCGCATCGATGTGTTTTAGTAATATATTTTTTTCATAATTGTTAGATTTAGCCGTTTATGAAGTTAATATATGTAAATGAATAGAAGTTTCATTTACTTGAGATAGGTCATATTACCAACTAAATGACAGGATGTTATGCGGAAACTTCGTTGGAATAAAAATAAGGATAACCCGTTTATGTAGGCGTGGTAGATGTCGCATTAATTTTTAAGAATGTTGTTATTTCTATTAGATGATTGAATGTCTTGTTACTTCTATTAAATACTTTATTCCATTGTTACATATTAGTTACGTTTCCCGATGCGTTTAAATATAAGAAAAAAAAAATACGCGAGTTAATTGACTTGTTATTTCGAAATCAGTTAAATTTGTCGTTGAAATTATTAGATTCCTTCACGTTGGGAAATTGTACGGTTATTCCGTTTTGGATGTTCGTGTTTGTTGGCAGTGTTCAATATATTTGTTTCTACTTAAATTGATACGGGACTTAGTTAACTGTTGTGGAGTCGTGTTGTAGTTGTGTTTATTGTTGTGCGATCGTTAACGGAACAAAACCGGGCGTGTCCCTATTCAAAGATATATTTTTCTACTGTCGCGTTTAACTATAAATTTTAATTTGGTCGTTCATAATAATCACGGTGTTTCGATAGCAGTAGGCAGCGGCTTGGCTCTGCTCCTGGCATTGCTGAAGTCCATGGGCGACGGTAACCACTTACCATCAGGTGGGCCGTACGCTCGTCTGCCTACATGTGCCATAAAAAAAATTATTGATGTTGTCTTGGAGCAGTTGATCGTTGTTATAAGTGGATACGTCTAGTTTTGTTCTAACCGATCGATCTAGTTACGTTGTGAATGAAATTTTAAACGATCGTTAGTTGTTAATGAACATTGTTATCGACGTTGTCAGGTTTATGCGCCGTAATAAATTTAAGTTATATAAGTTTTAGGATAAGCGTTGTATATATTCCGATGGTCGTCATACCAATCGGCAACGAGCATACATGCAATAAATAGTTAAAGATTTGATGCGTGTACTATGGATGCCCATAGTGCTACTTAATTTAAGAAACTTATTTAGAATAGCCTGAAGCTAGATGTGCTGTATGAAAAACTCTAAAGTTACGGTTACATTGTTCGTGTAGTTAATGAACAATTTTACTAATACTAATATTCAACAGGCTAAAGACATGATATCACCGTGGAATACATTTAATCCAATTTCTCGAGTTATGACCATTTTGCAGCTGAAATATCTGGTTGCTTATTTTGCGAAATTATTGTCAAGATCCTATCTATTCCATCGAAAATATTGAAATCGAACATACTGCCAGACTTTAGGCTTTCATACAGCATATTGTAATTGTTTAGATAATTGAGTGTTGTTAGCCTTTAAGAACTCTTACCTCACTAGTTATGGTTTTAAATAAGAAAAGATCATAATTATATGAAACTACTTACCTAGCATGGATACTTACTTCCAATTTAACGCGTAAGTTAAGCTTTGATGAACACCACTATTTAGGTTAAAAATAACTCCCATTAAAATCATCAAAATCTTATTATGGTCTTTAACGTATAAGTACAATCAAATTATTTTTCATTCGAATATCAAGTGTCTTCCCAGAGAAATATCTCTCGATTATTGCGGAATATATTTTTAAATCTCTCTTCAATCGTTTTAGTTACACGTGTAGTATTTCATTACGGGTCCCCTTCTAATTAATCGAAATTACTTATTCCTAATAACAGTACGAACTGGTGGTAGGGTGTCTTGTAAGCCCGCGCGGGTAGGTACCACCATCCTGCTCGTTTTGCCGGACGCAGTAACGCTTTCCGGCAAAAAGAGTAGGACAGCCGTTAGACTATACAACCGAGACTTAGACCTCATGTCTCGAGCTGGGTGGCGGCATTCACGTAGTGATGTCCACGAGCTCCGCTAAAGCACTTAACATCAGGCGCGTTGTGAGCTCGTTCCCCCATTAACGCAATAAAAAAGGGATTTTCTATGAACCACATCACACGATTTCTCAATTCAAATTGATTAATTGTCTTATATGTTAGTTAACCTTTTGACGTTCTTCCTCTTATACTTAAGTGTGTTCAAGTTGACGGGATAAGACAGTCCCTTCAAATTGCCTTCTATTAATACCTCATGAAGAGATATATAAAGAGATCTATTTAACGTTATAAAAAATATCCAACGGGATGACATTAACACCTCTGCAGTAGTTGGCGATAATTAAAGATTTATATTGACGTAATTTTATGATATCTGTATTTATAACATCAACGATGCAGATAACGAGATAAAAGCTTTCACATCCGTTTAAAATTTGGCGTTCATTTGGTTAACTGACTTTTGAGTATTAATTGTGTAAACGATCATCACAATTTTTTACCTATTGGATTATTATTTTTTAACTAATTAAAACTAAACTTTTGGTAAGCTAAGTTCATGATAATTATACTTTAACGTAACCTGAGCACCTCATAATTATTTTTAATTTCAATTAGTACTAGTATAGGATAATTAGATTTATAATTTGCATAATCCCGGTGGCGACTACGCCATTCGGTTACGAGCATACACGCAATAATAGTTAAAAAATACATTCCCATGAGCTGCGATCATCGCAGTCCCATGGTTGATTCTTATTTGGCTTTAGATTTAATCGATGTGTTAGAAGTTATTAATTGTTAAGTGTAAGACGAGATTCGTTTTAGGATTGATTTTCTGTGATATAGCTTTCTATTTTACAATCTAGAATTTTTATTATCTTCGGTGAATTAACTTTCTTTTATATAATTCGTTTAGGGTGTTCATTTTGTGTATCGCATTTTCATTAAAGTTTAGAGTTAATTTGAGAACATTTACTTTTGGAGGCAGGCGCGTTCTTAGTTCAACTTTCGTGGTATCCAATAGTTTAAATCTTGAATTCTTAATTTCATTTTCAATTCATATAAATTTATAGAAATAGTCCCCGTATGATTGGTCTGATTTTATCGTCTCACACTTTAATATATAGTTTAGGGAAGTAAATGCGTCGGTAGATGTTGGTTTATTGCTATGTATTATATGTTGTCGAAAGAATAATGCTGCCTTTTATATGAGACTATGTTAGAAATACACGTAAGAGTCTATTGATATATATATTATATAATAAAAGATATATACGATTTCACCGTGATGCCACTACCGCGACACAGCCTCCTTAGATATTAAGTAAATGTCTAAAATTAAATTGATGTTGTAACGTGTGTCTTGATGTGTCTTGTAGTATATAGGTTAGATTTGTGTCGCAGTGTAACCATTAGTTATTAAGTTAATAGTTGGGCCTATAGATGGGAAAATCGCGATCGATGTCACCATCATCTTTGGATGTTCTAAATTTTATATAATGTAGATGTTTAATTAGTTTTTGGGATGTTTTTTTTTTGTTGGTCATACTTCGGAAACGGGGTTCTAGTTGAATTTCCAAAGTTTACAGTTTCATGGCACTACTAGATTTCGTAGGTGTTTTAATATTAGAATGAATAACGTGACTATATGATCTTTCCGCGTTTAATATCTATTCTGTAGAGCTTGACTTGTTTGTTGTTACCATTGTGGGCAGACGAGCACACGGCCTACCTGATGGTAAATGGTTACCTTCGTTCATCGACATCAGCACTGCCATTAGTAAAGCTAAGCCGCTCGCTGCCCATTGAAATTTACGCGTTACCAATCTACAATCATCACGAATGAGTGCATAATAATATATAATAATATAAACTTTCGTTCCGCCTTTCGCCTCAACAACAACTTTTACTGTTTCATAATAAAATGCATAATATATTTTTTTTTATTATATTATTATCATCATTTTACTACGCGCATCACAAATTATTAGGTTAGTTTATGTATTAGATGTTGGAAGTAGAAAACTTTGTATATATCCGATGGTGGAGCAAACCATTCGGCCAACGAGCATGTATGCAATAAATAGCTTAGTTTAACATTATTATGTGCTATGGTTACCCATAGTGCAGCTTAGGGTTACTTTTTACTGTGTTTAATATAAATTGACGACAAGTCGAGTTATTGATATAAGTTAGTGTGTTAGTTAATTTCTCTTCTCTAACGTAGGACTGCGTGACGACACCTCCGATAGGGATACGATATTACCGTGTTTCTATTCAAAGTCGGATTTGAAGAATTTGCATTAGAAACAGTATGTTATATTGTCCCTAAATTACTACTTTTCCAGTATCCCTTTGTCACATGTGACTGCTTTCCGCGCACTAAATATAATCTCTTTCGTAATGTGTAATTCGTTGTTGTCATCCACACATCTAAGCTGGACGTATTCTCGTCACATCCGACCTGGTGGCGTTCGAAATTATTTAACATAAAATTAAAAAGACATACATCACGCCGTTTCGTCTTCACGTCCCGTCCTACGTTATTGAACAGAATATGAATGTCAGACGCAGCATAATATAAGGTTATTCGTATCACATAAGTACCTCAGAAATATAATAAGCCGAAAAATGATATACCTCAAACCGCGTCACAACCTCATTAGTTGTAATTTTTAGGCTTGATAAGTGTTTTAATATAGTAAGGTGGTTGGTTAGTTTTGCCATTAATTAAATCACCGAAGTGCTATGTGCATGCAGGATATCTAATTTTGCATCAATCCTCAATGTGGCCTGAGAAACTATTTATTTATTTATTTGTTTATTAAGTAGTGAATTTTTTTATTTATTTAAAGAGGAACTGGTAATTATGTTTAGTTATTATATTTAAATGTTACCAAATTTTTCAACAATTTCTCCCCTTACAATTAGTTTTAAAACCCTAGTGTAATTTGTAGTATATAAGCTATAATATATAAAAATGCAGATGAGAGAAAAATAGATAAGTAAAATCGTGTACGTAATCTAAATAAAAAGTTAAAAATTCAGAAAAGCAAAAAAAAATATATAAAAAATCGTAAAAACAAAAAAAAAATATAGATTTAATTTGGTAGTTTTAACAAGAGTCCTGTTATTGAGGCATCCGTATCTTGAGTTCTGCAAGACTTTATTCTAACCATATGATAGCCAATTAAGCTTGGGATCGCTTTGACATTTGCTGTATGCGTTTAGGACGGTAGACAAATCAATAATATACTCAATTAATTCAGCACAACCTGATTAATGTTTTCCACAAAATATACTTCATGTTGCTTGCTCAAGGTACCTCAGTGCGAATGCCTCAGTAACAGAAATTCTTTTGGGTAGTTTCGTTAGTAAAATTTCGCAGTTTCATCGAAATGTGAGATTGCAACGCACGGAAGTAAGGCAAATAGCTTTTAGTATACCCATATACGTTTAAAATTTATTTTTACTATAAAATAAAAAGAATAAATAAAAAAAAAATTTAAAAGAATATAAAGTAAAAAAAAATCTAAATAATATTACTAAAAGAAAAGAAAAAATATTAAAATAAAATAAAGTAAAAAAAAAAAACAAAAAAGAAAAAAATGTTAAAAAAAAGTAGTTTTAGTATGTTTAGTACTTAGTGTTTAGTAGTAGTGTTTGATGTTGATGTCATTAACTTAAGAACTTAACTTGTTAGGGAGCATCGTATACAAAGAGAAACATCCAATCCAATAATGACTATAGTCTTTTTTGTTGTAAAAACACCCAGATATCGTTTCGACGGCCGAATATTTCACAATGGCCGGTACTTTTGCCCACCAATGCTTCCTTACAAGTAGTTCTAGTGATAATTTCGCAAATTATGTCGTAATATAACATAGTTCATAGTGATTGGTCTTATCGATAAGAAGCGGGATATAAAAAAAAAGAAGTAAAGAAGTACTCTATTAGTTGTTAAGCGGGCAAAATTTATTTTAGTAATAATAGTAAATTAAAAGCGAAAAAAAAATAAAAATTAAAAGGAAACGCGAAAAAAAATTAAAAAGGGAAAAAATTAAAAAAAAATTATAAAGGGAAAAATAAAAAAAAAATTATAAAGGGAAAAATTAAAAAAAAAAATTAGATTTAAAAATAGTCGATAGGTTTCGGTAACTCTGTCGCGAGACATCTGTTAGTGGGGCGTGTAAAGAGAGAGATACAATTAATTTCAACTAAACTTTCAATATAGTCTATAGTCGTCTGTTGTTACTACAACTGTAAAATAGGAATTTGGCAAGTAATTAATAAAGGGTAAGAAACATTTCTAATTAATATAATTGTGCCTCACTAAGAGAGGTTCTTGAGATAGTTCGGTAATTATATTTGAAGATAAACAGAAGAAGCAGTTAAATGTCATTTCGTCGTATAATCTTAAGAATATAGTAAGTGGGCTAAACGGAGCATTCTGAACAATTTATGACAGATTCGTACATAATGATTTCATCATGTTTTTTTATTATTTAATTAATGACGGAAAAAATTGCATAAAAACAAAAAAATATATAGTTATAAGCTGTTTTGAAGTTACGTGTCGCGTTTAGAATTAATTGTACTTCAGGAAGTCTAGTTTGTACTTAAGAATGGCAAAATAATATGTAAATTAGTATATAAAAAAAAACAAAAAAATAAAAAAAAAATTAAAAATAAAAACGATAAAAAAAACATTAAAATTAAAAATGAAAACAATAAAAAAAAACATTAAAATTAACAAAAAACGAAAAAAAAAACAGCTTAGGGATAATTTAATGCATAGCTTTTGATTTTATTTAAGTAAGATCCGTGAGGCCTTTAAGTAAATAGTTGAAAATAACCTCTTTTAGATCAAATCGACCTAATGAAGAATTCGAAATCGTTCACATTAATATGAAAAACACACATTTTTCAAATACCCTCAGGCTTGCGGCTGGACTCTTGTATTTTTATTATCACCTGTGTGGTTCCCGGGTAAGAATAGGACCACTCCATCTCATCCCGTGGATGTCGTAAGAGGCGACTAAGGGAATAAATGTTAATGAGCATCTAAGTCAGGTGGGAGGATCCTTGAGTGCTGGGTCCGAGTAGTTCAGTACCACCGTCTTACTCTTGTATTGCGACACACAATCTTGTGTTCTCGCAGGTAATATAAGGTAAGATATCTACTAAACGACGTGCACTCGAGGTATTAAAACTTTTACCTCAAAGGGCGATGCGTCTGTCTTCATTTCATTATGATGTTTTTTTTTTATTTAATTTTTTAAAGACGCATTCTAGAACATAACGATCTGTTCTACGCACGCCACCGATTTTTTATGTTTGTTGTTTGTTTTACGGGGGATTACGAGTGTTCAGAAGAAGAATAAATCTCCTTCTGTGGGAACGGGGGACGGTTAGAAAGGTGGATGGTTTCTAGTTTAGTTGCGGGCCTGAGTTTTACTTCTGTCTATATGTTCAATTGTGTTTTGATTTTTGGTCTATTCGATTTATTGTTAAGATTTAATATAAGATTTAAGACACATAAAATATAAAATAAGCATAAAATAGATGAAAATTCCATAAAATTGCAATTAACATCAGTTGCGAAAACATCTTAAGGAGTTACTTTTTCTTTTTCTGTATGTTGTAAGGTTCTACGTGTAAGACTAGTTTATAAGGTACTTTCGGCTTTTCTACCTCATAATGATAAGTAAATTATAAAATTAATGATAATCACTGCCTCGTTCACGGCCCTTACGTTTTAGTCGGTTTCGGATTTTGAAGGACATACACCCGTTATTTTAAGATCGGATAGAGATATTAGCAATTAGATTAACGAACCGAATACCTCAAATTTTGCTTGCACTAGTGATACAGATTAGAGGTAGATAACCGTCGAAGTAAGGTGTAGCGATAAGCGTTTGTTGTGTGTTGTATGTTGGTTCTGGTATCGGAAATGTTAATATGGCGCATAGACTTAAGTGTTAAAATTGTTAAAATGTTGGTATATAACGTTGTTGACAGATGAGTGTTTTCGAATCGTTGGCTACGCGCTGTTCCTTCAATAATCTCTTTTCTAACTGATGTCTTCGATGGTTATTCCTCATTCGTTTCTAAATTAAAAATTGAAAAAAAAAAACAAAAAATTCCCTTAATCCGTTGATACTTGTTAAGTTTGTGCGCGTGCCATAGATTCCTTATCTCCGGTAATGATGTTAAAGTTGTAGTAGCATCGCTATACCCGATCGCGCTGTCCGATGCATCTGAAGTGTTTCGGGCTTTAAGCGGATTTAAAGTTCGAAATAGGTCGTTATATCGCGTTCGGTCTGGTATGTATGCTAACGTGTCACGCACTGTGTCAGGTTGTGGAGTGTCGGGTGAACTTTTCTGGAGTTTTAATAGTTTAATACGGATCCACTTTAATAGCACTCCTCATTCGAAGTCAATTTGTATGTATTTTCTTTAACTAGACTATCGAATATTAATCGTTTTTTTTTAAAGATATTTGTCGGTTTTCTTGACCTCATTAACTTCAATATCGTCATCACCGAATACTTTAGACTCCGTTAGACTTCAGCGCTCCGATCATGTTCTCACTAAATAACGTGGCACAGTGAGTGTTAATCTGTTATACGGTAATCGTTTTTTGATTGATTTAACCTACACCGTTTGAAATCCACGAAATAAGGTTTTCTTGTAATTCTAGTTTAATAGTTTCCACTCCTGCATCCGATTTATATGTACTTACGTTAGTTAATTTTGCGACATTTCATTCAGGTGATCTTCAATCTAGTTTCAATTAACCAATTCGTTCTCGATAATGCCGTCATTACTTTACGTATCTTAATTTCAACCCATAAATAATATGGGTGAAGTGCATTTGGCGGAGGAAGTTAAGCTTCCGAATGTTGTCATCTTGGTTTTGTCGATGCAGAAGTTCGATATGCAAATGAGCGACGGAGAGAGTTGAATAAGCTCGACCGGACCGGCACCTCCGTTACGATAATGATATTACTGCCGGTTGGATGCGGTAATAGTATACCATCTTAAATGGCCGGAATTGTTGGTCTGTCTGTTCTTATCACGGCCCGTGAATGTTGTACCTGAGACGTTAAATCGTGAATGGTTACGAGGTGGTAGGGCGTTTGATGAAGGACCCGACCGGGTGGGTAGCACTGTCCGAGCCCTAGCCCTCCGATACAGGCTTGTGTTGGTGAGCATTGGGATTCGGTTGCATGCGCATCATGGACAAGGACATATTAACCATGATTCATACATCAAGGACCGCCCGTCTCAGTCCTAAGTAAAGAGCGAATAGCTCGTTTTGTAAGATCAATCCAATATGACTCATATTGTGACGGTATGATAACTCAGGAGAATGTAAACATCTAATCGACTTAGAGTAAAAATGTAATAATTTTTACAAGGTCAATAGGAAGTGAGTATGTAGGAGGCCTCTGTGAGTCCAGACGGTCTAAAAGAGTTTTTAACAACTTAGGAAGTAGGAGCGTTGACTCGTAAATTTTTCGATGGTTTCTTCAATATTTGTGCAGTCTTAATATTACTTGTATTCATCCAGTACTAGTAGTTGTAAGGTGTTAGATTTAAAAAAGAAAAAAAAAAACTGTAGTTTTTATAAACTGTCATTTTTTTGCATTCTGTGTAAATAATTATCGTTTTCGGTACTTTATACAAACGTATTTTGTAAAACGATGGATTTATACAGTTTTTATTCTATATGTCATTTTTATTATTATAATTTACGGTTTTCATTACCTAGTAATCATGTTTCTCATTTTAACTATATTGATTTTATATTTTTTGTGTCTGATTGAGCGTCTGTTACATCGAAGAGTATATTGTAATCGTTTTCGAGAGATACTGATCATGAAAATGATATAAAGAGCATTGTAATGAAACGCCCGTGTTCGCTGGGCTTGGGAGACGGATCGGCGCTTCAATCAGATATTCGTAAGGTTTTTCATTTGTGTTTTTTATAATGTCTTTTTTAGTTTTTTTTAATATAAATACTTATCTTAATGTAACCACATTCATTAATCCATGTAAAGAACCTGTGCAAGAGAACGACCCTTGAATGAACACAGTACATATGAAATACTTATCAGTGTGTGTGTGTCTTTTTAACATCGATTCAATTTAAGAACGTAATCACATTAAAAAAAGAGAAAAAAAAACATCCTTGCCGAATTTTTCGTCACCGAAAAACATCGCGACAAGAGAAGCTTTGCACGCTCGAGAATTTAATTGGAGATCATTTTTTTCGAAATAGTATTTCGTCTAAGAGCAGCATCGAACAGATTCAAAGTTAGAGATTACACCGAGCGCTTCATCGAGTCTTAACAAAGTTTTGAAAGCACAGTACACCGATAGTGTTTGGTTACGGCGTAAAGATTGGCAAAGCGCATCTCGATTGAGGCAGGGTCGTTCGCTAGCGCAGTTCGTTTGTAATCTTTATAGTGTAAGCTGTTTATGGATATGCACAATATTGTATCGGTATTGCATTAATCAAACTAATACTGCTTTCATATGATAGGGCGATAGGGACTGTCAAGGATTCGGAATGGAGTCGTTTGGACATGGAAGGCATAACGGCGCGTCTATGAAAGCAGTTTAAATGTCTATTCAGTAAATAAATGTATGTTGTAGACTATTACTATATAATCGAGTGTCAGCTACCAGCACTCAGGCAAGTTAAACTGAGCGAACAATAAAAATATACGTATAAATTGAGATTGTATAAAAACATCTTGAATGTCTGCGGGCTCTCGTTTAACTGAATTTTGTAATGATTGCAATAAAATTGTCTCCGAAAGGAATAAAGAATGATAAATAAAAACAAAAGGATAATGTGATCAAAGGAATCTTATAAAGTTTGATTTAAAAAAAAGAAAAAGATAAAAGGTAAATTCTATTAAAGCGTTTCTGGAGAGTGCTGGAGCTATTTATTATTAGTAATTACATATTTAACTTTGTCGTAAACTCTGAAATTGCATGTGGTAATATTAATCTTTCGGTGTCAACATTCATGTTTATAAATGTTTTTGCGTATCAACCAAAAAAAATAATAAAAAAACCAATGAAAATGTAAAATAAATGCGTTTTATTTCTCTTTAACAATATACAGGACCTAAACGTGCGTATATGTACCTTAAATATTACTTTAAAACAGGGAGATCGTTAAGGCAGGCCGAGCGTGATTAAAAATCATATTACAATCGAAGCACGCATCGCCTTAATTTTTACGATATTCTAATAAATACATACATTAAATGCTTTGAGTATTCTTTAATATTTGTGATGCAACAGTATTATAAAGCCAGCCTCTAACTCTCCTGTGAAATAGAACGTCTGGTTCGGAACAATTATATTAAACTATGATACAGGCTCAGTGCTATATCAAAATATAAAGTGAAATACATAAATAAAATTAATAACATGCTAACTACCAAACGACAGTAATCGGTGATCACATCACATTGTATCAACAGCTTGAGTCGATCCTCAAAGAAATTTTCCAATCAATTTCATTTATATTTTACACACTTTTTTTAACATACTATTATTAGATTATAGAAACAGAGTTATCAGCAACATGCTTCATCAAAAAGTACAATACTTACTTTTAGCTACAAGGGTCGTCATCAGTAACCTATAGGTCCACGCAAATAGCAATGCATCCTCAAATGTCTCAATGTTACATGTTTCATCTCAAGCCTGGGACAGCGAGGATCATAATTCAACTGTTGCAAACCGGAAGGCATTACGGCTTCATTAAAATAAGCCTGGTGGTCGGACCTAGTTCTCAGAAGATCCCCTACCACTGATAGAAGGGTTGTTGTCCTAATAACTTTAACTTAGGTCGATCATACTCGACTTCATGATACAAGACATCGACATTCACCATTCGTAGGTATACGAAGGTAACGCAGGAACGATACTTCGCGACACCACAGTCCCTTATTATGATAGTCGCACGCCTGACTCCGATTCAGGACGCATCCTCAAGGATCCCACTGATTCAGTTTCAGTATTGTTGGACGCTACTAGTAAAGAGGTACTGGCTAGAATCAGGTATAGCTAATCGCTAATCTTCACGGATGTCTACTGACACTCAGTCGTGTGTTTAGTGCGAGTTTTTTAACGTTGTCGATAGCGTAAAAGTTAACTTAATTTTGTATGGAGTTGGAACATTTGCCAACGTTTGCCGCTAGGGGCGCTGTTCCATCTGCATACTATTAACTTTTACGGTATAAAAAACTCACTAAGTACACTGAGCATCAGCTGATCTTCCAGTAGATCGCGATTCCAAACGCGTCTCATGAAGTAGCTGTCTTGAGCTCTCATCATACATCAGAGACGTTGGCGCAGTCTTAGTAGCCCGCTATCCTACCCTTATCTAAGCCCTTGAATTATTCACCGAAGCTGGACACAACTCCGAGCCAATCGATAATACCATCATACCAAAATAAAACTCGCGATGTGTAGGGTTTTTCAAATAAAAGTAAGATTATCGTATCAAAATCATAATTCATAAATCAATTCTCATTGCGAAGGCTGTGGTGAATTTTCGCCATGGCATTCAAAATGTTAAATCCGTAGTTGGCAGAGTCAGAAGTCAGTTCTGACGACTTCGGGTTGTATGAAGTCATAAACTTTAACTATAAACGTAATTAATTTACAATTGCTAAAATACAACATGTTGTTAAAACATATACATAAACATACAACATACCTGTCATCACTGAAATACATTGCAAAATACCTTTGTGATGGACCATTAACTTACATGTAAATAAAATTAATTACAACAACGTTTAGTCTATAACTAACTTAATGGTACTTAGCACCAAGATCTAGAAAGTTCTACATTCGCTAAAAATATGACGTTCGCTTAGAACAAACGCCGCCATGTTTAAAACATAATAAGCGCGACGATTGTACGGGCTGAGAGCGTATTCACTACGAACAAAAGTTGGAATAAGTTTCGTTTTATCTCACGGTTGGTACCACTGGCAAATTCGCTAAAAGCATTCAACTTATTATCGGCGCGCAATGTACATCGAACGCTTCCGAAATATGCCGTCGCATAGTTTTTCATTGAGCGTCTTTCGTTGTGTTGCTAGCACATCAGAGCGTTTTTCAGCCACTGAAATAAATAACATAATTAATTGTGAAGTCAGAAACATTATACAGGGTGTTTCGTTAAATAAATAATTGAAATCAATATAATTAATTGTGAAGTCAGAAACATTATACAGGGTGTTTCGTTAAATAAATAATTGAAATCAATATAATTAATTGTGAAGTCAGAAACATTATACAGGGTGTTTCGTTAAATAAATAATTGAAATCAATATAATTAATTGTGAAGTCAGAAACATTATACAGGGTGTTTCGTTAAATAAATAATTGAAATCAATATAATTAATTGTGAAGTCAGAAACATTATACAGGGTGTTTCGTTAAATAAATAATTGAAATCAATATAATTAATTGTGAAGTCAGAAACATTATACAGGGTGTTTCGTTAAATAAATAATTGAAATCAATATAATTAATTGTGAAGTCAGAAACATTATACAGGGTGATCGTTAAATTGACACAACTGAATTTAATGCGATCAATGTAAGTGTCATATCAAAATCCATAATGTAGAATCGTAACAATCCGTAATCCGGACTGAGTGAAATAAACAAATAAAGGTTCAATTACCTCTGAAAGATTTAGTTGCACAGCATCGGAACCGGGGCGACGGCCGTCGTTTGTGTAAAATAATTCTGGAAAATTCGATAGGCAGAGTCTTAATATTATGGAAGCGATATTATTGTTACTGCTGTTGATAGGCAAAACGACCTATTGTAAAAGGAATAGCGGACGAGTGCTTACAAAACTGAATTTATGTTTGTTTGTGTTCGTCCGATTGAGTAAAAGCTTTATAATTTTCTGTTGGTTTTACATGAAAGAGTAGACATCTATCTGTCTTCGCAAACATTAGTAGCATATGATATATCTATAATAAATAATATAATATCAAGGGGTGAAAGGCCATCTGATTAAAGCGACATTTCGCTTTATAGACATTTAACATCTTTGGAATTAAAGGTCCGTTTTATTTGGTATTAGCATCACTAGCTCGATTTTTTTAATTGAATTTCAATTAAGTTCACTACATTCAAAATAGTGAAGATTGTTTTTTTGTGCTATGATATTTTTTTCCAATTTTAAACTTTAAATGGCTCTCCTGTACATACAAATACATCACAAGGTAAAAATTGTCTGCTGGTTCCTTAAAACCGAAACGGTTATGAGCTCATCTGCATCTGTACAAGTGAGTAAATACCAACCGAACACCCTGTGCAAGTGCATGACGGCGGACACGAAGTCACCGAAACGCAGCATCCCATCTTTCCTCATATACCGGAACACCAATAACGATATGACTCGTTCCGGTACAATGAAGCCGACGTCTTTGAGAGCGTCCCGCAATCGCTCCACCCTCAACACCCCCATCTTCTCACGGGCGTGAGTCTTGAACACGAGCTGCAGATGCTTGAGACTGCAGATCAGATCCTTGAAGTCGGACAAGCATATCCGACCCGTGCCTTTCTTCTGTATTATACATTTGGTTAAGAAAATTTTGTATGAACCATATTAGTATTCAAGTTCAGAGCATTGTCAAATATTTATTGAGGCACATAATCATCATAAAGTGCATGCTGTCACACGCCTTGAAACATGACGTTTCAATTTCAATTGTATCCTATAATTGCCCCTTCAAACCGGACCGCAAGACTTAGAGATTTTTTTTTTTATTGCCTTTGTAGGCAGACGAGCATACGGCCCACCTGATGGTGAGTGGTTACCGTCGCCCATGGACTTCAGCAATGCCAAGGGCAGAGCCAAGCCGCTGCCTACCGTAGCCTACCGCTGGTATAAGAATCATAAGTCAAGATCTATTGAAGTAACTAGGAGTATTTCATAAATAAACATTAGTGGAATACACAAGTCGATTGATGAACAGTTTAACCAACGCCCTACATCTATATATATAAAAATCAATTGCTGTTCGTTAGTCTCGTTAAAACTCTAGAACGGCTGGACCGATTTGGCTAATTTTTGTCTTGAATTATTTGTGGAAGTCCAGAGACGGTTTAAAAGGTAGAAAAAGTTATACTTTATTTTTATTAAATTTATTTCTTTTTTATTTATTTAAATTTTAATCAATTTGAAAAAAATCGATTAAACAACATCCTCAAACACGCATATTGGACATCCCTTTTCTTGACATCGTATAAATTCAGTAATTCTCAGTACTGTTCGGAAAGTTCACCTGCGGCTATATTCAGACTCGCCAAGTTATTGTACTGGTCGTACTGTAATGAGCGATTTAGTGGGCAACTTGTGTCACGGTGCGCGCGCATCTTAAAATTTCACTCTCATCAATTTTTCATAACGCGCCTAAAGAAGTATAACTTCAATAACAATTTTGTTTTTCCTTTGATGTGTCCTTCGTCGGACGCGAATTCCTTTTGTTTGTTTTAAGTTTATTTTATACAAAAGTTTAGGTCTTTTATTTATCGATTGAGACACTACGAAGTCTGCCGGGTTAGCTAGTTCATAACATATGTTAGAGAATTGATGTTAAGTCAAACTTTTATGTGAAGGATACATCCATAGACAGAACGATCTGTCGGCACGTGTCTATGGACACGCAACTCTTGATGTAATCGTTCGGGAGGCACGCGTCCAGTAGCTCTTGCAGCTCGAATATATCAATGGTTCTGTGTTCGTCGGCCAGCTGAAGAAACAAGGTCTCGTATTGGAAAAATCCGTTCGAATCCGATCCCGGGGGAGCTTTGACTAAGGCAGCTTTCGTCATCTGGGGCGGGTCGTCCAGTACTTTCATTTTAAGTGGTTTGTTCGAATAGATCCTTAGCGTGAACTGCGCTTCTTCTCGGGGCTCAAAGGTCGTTGGCATTATGAGGTACGCTCCCGATTCTAACTGACACCTGGGGAGTTATAACCATAAAACTTATTGCAATTATTATTTTTATTGTTTTAGATGGGTTGACGACCTGCCTGGTGTTAAGGGGTTACCGGAGCCCATAGACATCTACAACGCAAATGCCGCAACCCACCTTGAGACATGAGCTCTAAGTCTCAGTATAGTTACAACGGCTGCCCCACCCTTCAAACCGAAACGCATTACTGCTACACGGCATAAATAGGGAGGGTGGTAGTACGTGCGGCGTGCGGGCTCACAAAAGGTCCTGCCACCGGTTGCGATACGACAGGGATAGCATATATTTGTTTTATCATAATACGTCATGTCAAATGATCACTACCCGATTCCATCCGCATCAATACGCGTAAAATTAAATCACGTATTGATGAATTAAATATAAATAGGAATCTTAAATTGATTACAAATAAAATACATTTATGACTTGTACACTGGTCGGTAGATCGAAATTTTTTTTGCTGTGTTATGCTCTGAAATTTTTTACTTCGTCATTAGTTTAGGTGTAGAAAAAATTGAGATGAAAATTTTTCATTCTAATGACAAAATAGAACATAATCATTATCATCATCAATCGATGGTTGTTCATCACTTAACATAGACTTCTCCCAATTTACACCACAATTGCCCGGTGCTTGTTGTATTTTAATTTCTGACTACCGTCATTTGGGCATGCAAGCGCGCGCTGTCGCAGTTGAGCATTAAGCAAAGATTATTCTAGTATTTTCTTTGGAATTCGCTGGTCGTAGACACAATTAAAACTACTCTTACAGTTTTAATTTCGTAGTTTTGAATATCGTTGTATTGTTTATGACGTTTCGAATACTTATAATATTATAATATAATACTCCAACTAGGTGGACCGACGACTTAGTGCGCATGGCGGGAAGTCGTTGAATGCACAAGGCGGAGGACCGCATTATGTGGAATGTATTGGGGAAGGCATATGTCCAGCAGTGGGCAGATAAAGGCTGATGATGATGATGATGAATACTTTATACACTAAATTGAGTCGAACACTGTGCTGACTACCGTCTATTTTACTATATATAAAAAAATCCTGCCTGGAACGTAAAAGTAGATTTAATAAAGTTCATTTTTTCAAACTACCCACCTCTGGCTGACTTGTCTGCTATTAGTGTACTGCGAGTTGATCGTGCTTTTGATCCTCTTGAAAAACATTTGGTTGGCGGTCTCGGTAAGAAACTTTGGCATTTTATAAACGCTGAATCCAATTACTTTAGGCTCCATTATGCTGTGTTGGTTCAGAGATATAATCACAGTGTCTGGCTCGTTCAACATGATTTGAACTTGGGGATTCGTGTGGAAGAAATCTGTCGATAATGGGATTGCATTTTTATTTTTATGAGCAAACGAGCCCACGGCGTACGTGGTGCTAAGTGACTACTGGCGTCCGTGGACATCATAGCCTGAATGCCGTCCATCTTGAGACGAAAGGTCTTAGTTAGACTTGTATTGTATAATAGCTATCCTAATGGTAACGAATGACTGCTTCGCAGTAGAAATAAGCTGGACTGTGGTACCAGACCGTGTAAGCTCACATTACGCCCAGTATGAGGATTTGATAGGAAAGGGACAAATTTAAACGAAGAAGCATTGAATTAGGTTTGATAAAACATTACGAGTTTAATTTTTATAATAAGATTCCATCATTGTGTAATTTTATTCATGAGTAGACTTAAGTATGTATTTCAAAGGAGTAATTGGTATTTGCCTGCGGGATCCGAACACCGGCAAAGCGGCATCAACAAAACCGGTAACAAAGGTAACTAATTAAGGTGACGTTTACAATGCGTTCATGTACTTTTTACAGGTGGTAGGACCTCTTGTGAGTCTGCGCGGGTAGCTACCACCACTCTGCCTATTTCTGCCGTGAAGCAGTAATGTGTTTCGGTTTGTGCAGGGTGGGGCAGGCGTTGTAACTGTACTTGAGATCTTAGAACTCATATCTCAAAGTGGGAGGCGCATTTACGTTGTAGATGCCTATGGGCTCCAGTAACCACTTAACACCAGGTGGGCTGTGAGCTCGTCCACCTATCTAAGCTATAGAAAAAATCTACACTTCTAGTGAAATGAATAAATTATATTTTTAGTACTCACTGACGTAATTCCGACATCCTCCAGCAGATACGCCCCTCTTCCAGCCGCCTTGGTGCATCTTCATCTGCCACTTCTGTTTCTCGGACAGCGAAAGCTCCGCTCGGCTGGTCTCCGTGTCCAAGTGCACCATCTCGATCCGGGGGAAGAGGCGCTGGAAGTCACTGAACAGCATCCAGACGCCTTTAGACGCGATCATCAGTCTGTCTCTCTCGTACTGCGGAATCGTTTTCCATCTGAAATTGAAATGTAGAATGTTTGAAATCTGTCACTTGTGTTTCTCGATCAATGTTCTCTAGATTAATATATAGAGACACTAAACTTATTAATTACACGGGTCAACACCAAATTTGACATTGATTGCAAAGCATAAAATTTCGATATTTTTGATCGTAATTAGACGAAACAAAAAATACATGGCATAAAACAGTTTGCTTTTGAACTTTAATAAATTGACCACATATGAAACGAAATGCATTAGCATCGTATTTACACTTTCGTGACATTGTAAGTTTTTCTGGGCTTGTACAAAACACCTGATCGTTGTTTATGACTCGAGTGCCATCTAGTGGCACTGTGTAAACGTAAACACCCCACTCTCATAGCGCGGTGTTTTTGAAAGTATTAAAATTAATTAAAATTTATAAAAAAAAAAAAAATTAGAATTATTACTATAACTATCACAAAAACAAATTTTATAAACAAAAAAAGGTATTTTATTTTCGTTTTTGTGAATAATTATCCGGAAAAACCTAGTAGAAACGTTAGGACAAATAAACGAATTTTTTTTTTGTAGAGTTGTGTTATTTGTAGGAAGGATAAATTGACCTAAATATCGACTGCAGCGCCATCTGCCGGGCTGATTTGTGCAAACTCATACAAGAAAATTCATTCAATCGGTCCAGCCGTTTAGGAGGAGTTCAGTGACAAACACACGTACAGATGAAATATATATAAAGATATGGTTATATCAATTCAGCTTAGCTTTATAAGAATATTCTCGATTGCTTCTTTTGATAACAAAAACTTAGTACACATCAGACTTTATTAGAGAGCTATCGTTTGATTGATTTGTTTGATATAAAAAGCAGTTATCGATAAAACAAAAAACTTTAATTTTAGTTTCGTGTTTCCTTAACGATACATTTTTCCTTCTTTTTTTTGAATTGCGATTCTTTACTACAAGCTGCGTACATTGAATTACTGAAATGTATTTTTCAAAAAAAGAATATAATGATTTAATTATGCATAGAGTAATAGATAAATTTGTTATGTGGCTCAAAATTACAAAAATGATTAGATTGGAATTGATTAGATTGGCAATTGTTTGCACCCTTACGTGGACAAACTGAGCTGAAATTTATCAGTTGCACTGTGGATCTAGTGACCTGAACTATATACTCAGCAATTTATGGAGACTCGCGCAGACCCTCGGCAACGCCTGTGTGAGAAACCCATGAAGCGCGCCCTATATTTACAAATCTTCATGTTTTAATGTTTTTTTTTTGTTAATTTTAGCTTATTGTTTTGACGTAAATTTTGGGAAACTTGTACTTATATGTTTTGTTATTTACAAGGCATATGTTACACATATTGTAACTCTTTACATAACGATACTCCACTACCAAGAATACTTTGTTGTGCAAGTGTAATTGTAAGTGGCGGCGCCCTTATAGTCTTGGCGTCTCTGTGCACCGCACACTTTACACACTGGGACGGTGCAGCCCTGATTTTATGTACAAAGCTAAGATGTAAGAGCAAGTTTTTTACTGGTGGGAGGACCACTTGTGAGTCCGCGCGGGTAGGTACCACCACCCCGCCTATTTCTGTACGCTCCAGTAACCAATTAACACCAGGTGGGCTGTGAGTTTGTCCACCCATGTAAGCAATAAAAAAAAAAAAAATGTGTGCAATTCACACGTGGTAGAAGTGAAACCTTCCAAAATTAAAATACAATTATCCTAAACGTCTTAAGTATATGTAAAATTTTGTCATTAGTAAATAATTGTAAGGTAGCGCCCTCTGTGAATTGATATTTTAATTTCACGTATAATCCTAAATTAAAATTCACTACAAGAGCTTTCATACACACTTTAGTATTAAAAAATCTCACAGATGGCGCTGTATTAAATAGTGTGTATATTTATGTCTCATTCTTTGCTGGCTTCCTCCTACACATTTTTGTATTTGTGTCTCTTACCTGTCGTTTTTTCCGTTGCATCCGGTTTGAAATCACAACGAATCTAAAGAAGTTTTCACTTCAAAAAATAGAAAAAATAACTCACAAGGCCGTATCTAGTACAATGTGTGATATCGGCGTTTCCCCGTGGCCCAGGGGTCGCCGCAACCGAATCAAGTAGACGGGCTCGTTTGTTGTGTCGACCTGAAAAATGTTTATTACACTTCTTCTTAACCTTATCCTTACCAACCTTATTCCACTAAGTAGGGTCGGCACAACAAATTTTTCGTATCCATTCTCCTCTATCAGCCGTCATCTCAACACTCACTTCTCTTTCTATATATCGTCACTCACACACTAACAATGTACAATATACAACAGAACATTTCTTTACAGTGTTCACTCAGTTATTGAAATACGAACGTAGGTATTTGTCGACAGATCAAGATTTACGTGTATTTCCGAATGTTGTCGGTGCAGTTTTAGTGTCCGTGACTATTGAGCGCGAGGGTCGTAGGTTCGATTCCACCACCCTACCTATTTCTGCCGTGAAGCAGTAATGCGTTTCGGTTTGAAGGACGGGGCAGTCGTTGTAACTATACTGAGACCTTAGCACTTATATCTCAAAGTGGTATTTACGGTTGTAGATGTCTATGGGCTCCAGTAATCACTTAAAACCAGGTGGGCAGTGAACTTGTTCACCCATCTTTAAGCAATAAAAAAAGACAATGTGTGATCTGGGCATCTCCAAACGTCTACTTATTTACTCATTGTATTTATTACATCATTAATCTTCCCCTCATTCACGAGAAACTCAAGAACAATATAAGCGTTATTTCAATAAAATTGGAACTAAAAAACTCATATTTCATGATGTACATATTCACATTTCATGAGTTTCGGTTACAGGCAAACACAAAATGACTGGTAATTTTGTGGTTTTTAACTAACAGTACTAGATATTTTTCAACTATTACAATATTTTTTTACTAAGCCTTTAATTATCCTTTATACCAATTGAATACGTTACTTACTTTTTGTACATCATAAATCCTATAATTCATTTCTAATTCTAAACTTGTCGCAGTTTTATCTTCAGCTGGCTGCAAAGTAAACAAAATGTTAATTTAACACGATTATAGATATAGCTAGTGATGTCCAGACACGTTTTAAACATTTAAATAAATAAGCGGACGCACAGATTCAACCTGTTTGTGAGTTTATGTTTTAGATGACCTATGGAATTATTATATGGTAACACTTAAATCGCGCGTCATATGTTTTTTCTTTGCATTAAATTATTTGCAATAAACAAGTTATATAACATACTAGCCGTACTCGCTCGCTTCCCTGCGCATTTAAAATTAACATTATTATTTATTGTCATTATTATTCTAGCCTATCCATTAACTACATGTATTTTCTACATGGATACCAAGTTTCAAGTCAATCGGATGCATGGTTCAGTAGTTATAACGGAACATCCGTAAAAACCACTGTAGATTTATATATTAGTATAGCTTAATTAGTTAATTAATTACATATAGAATATAGATTTTTGAAACTAATAGTAACCTGCTATTTTAAATAAGAGAACCTATGTGCTCAGTGTCAACTTCGAAGGACTGCGTGATGATTGTTTTAATACAACCAAGACTTTAACCTAAATTGTTGGGCAGCTATTTTCACTGTGTTCTAGGTGTCTGGTATTCGCTTGAAATATGTGCTCTTAATAACGTCTATCTATATAGACACATTCAGTGGAAAGACTGGTGGCGTCTAGCGGATTTCCATAACCCTCACCAGGTCGTCGGACCACATTGTGGGAGGGAAGCCTATCCACGCTGCGTCTTCCGGTACGCGGTCGCCATTCGAGATTTTTTTTTCCTTCCTATGCTGATAGCCTTGAGAGGCTATATCAGCTTCTCCCACTGGCCCTAGCAAGAGACGTGCTTCGCAGAATCTACCACCGGATCGGAAACGCGACCCAACGAGAAGATCCGGCGAGAAACTCGGTGGGTTTTAGACCCAGTAACCGCCCTATCCATTGCCACATCTACCACGCAATCCTTTGGGCTATATCGGTTATCATATCCAGCGAATCTCCTCATATCTGCTAATAGTAACGTTTGTACGTTAATTAATAGTTAAGGTGAAATATCAATAGGTCTTTAATTATCAAATACACACCTAACACACTCTAACACCACAAATATTAAGGTTCACAATAAACACGTGCATTTGAAAATGTGCATCCTTTATAAATGAAATCCGGAGCGAATCTTAAGGATCATAATAAAATATATTTCAGATTAAGTTTGTAGTACGCTGATCGTGAATGGTCCGGCTTGTTACGTCGGTAAAGATGAAAAGAACACAAATATAAAAGTTACCGGTGGAAAGTAATGTGCGGTGACCACACTGCTCGTATCGAGTAGAGTTCTGAGAGCACTGCCGTCGGACAGCTCTGGCATTACGATAGACTCCGTGATGCCGCCGGTGAGGTCTGCCAATCCGTCCAACAAACTACCATACTTTAACGCTTCGTATGAGCCGTGCAATCTGATTGATAGGAAACATTGTCATTGTTATTATTATTTTTATAAAATCAAACCCGCAAAATTATAATTTGCGTAATTACTGGTGGTAGGACCTCTTGTGTGTCCGCACGGGTAGGTACCACCATCCTGCCTATTTCTGCCGTGAAGCAGTAATGCGTTTCGGTTTGAAGGGTGGGGCAGCCGTTGTAACTATACTCAGACTTTAGAACTTATATCTCAAGGTGGGTGGTGCATTTACATTGTAGATGTCTGTGAACTGCAGTATCCACTTAGCACCAGGCGGGCAGTGAACTCGGCCACCAATCTAAATAAAAAATAAAAAATACGTTGACATAATATAGGACCGCAATCTCTTAATACTATGACATTGGAAAGGGTGATACAACTTGAACATCAAATTAGAATTTTAGTTAAGTACTGGGACGAATTTTGTATAATTCATAACAAATATCACCCCTGCCTTAGAAGCAATTCTTTGATTTAATGTCCGAGGTTAAATGCTGCATGCAATTGTTCCGCTGAATCCTAACCGATAACACATACGTCATCGCTTGTGTCTAGTTTACAATTCACGTTGATCATTACTAATGCTGAGACGAAACCCGTCGTCTTCATCTCGGCATCCGGATCGTATACTATAGAGTATATACTTCGGTAAAGACTCAATAGAAGAGCGATTGTACGTTTATTTATTTGAACGACTGAAAATACCAGAACAAATACAAATAATAACTTTGCCTATTTTAGAAGTTGAAAGCTTATTGATCTGATACGATTTTGCATATTTATTAAGTGCGTTTCCAAAGACCTTCGCTGGCACTTACCGTCCGGATTTGTAATGAACTTCCCTCCACGGTGTTTCCCGAACGCTATGATATGTCCTGTTTCAAACGAGGCTTGCGAAGATTACTTAATGGTAAGCGGCGGCTTGGCTCTGCCCCTGGCATTGCTGACGTCTATGAGCGACGGTAACCATTTACCATGAGGTGGGCCGTATGCTCGTCTGCCTAAAAAAGCAGTAAAGAAAAAAAGGAAAGAAAAAAAAGGGGTTACTAAATCCATGCGGGTACGAGTGGGATTACTAACAACTTGAATGCTCGTATATGTCAAATTGATAAAATATTATTGGTTATGGTATTGGTTATGGATGGTTAGGGCAGTCGTTGTACAATACATTAGTATCTTAGAAATCGAGGCCCACGGCGAATCGTGATATCTACGGGCTCCAGTGACTAATAAGCCCCAGGTGGACAGTGAGATAGTTTACCCGTCGTTGCTATAGATAAATAAGAACTTACTTGGCGTAGGCTTTTTCTAGGAGAGCTGGCCAAAGCTGATCCGTTTGACTGGTCTGTAAGAAAGCCAGTTTCCCATTCACAGTCGGGAGGCGGTCATCTACAAGGACTTCTAGCCACTGACCGCACCACCACAGTCGAAACCTGAATACGGATTACTATTACGCTGAATACGTATATTTTCACTGTCTGATAAACCAACTGACAAAAGCGGTGTTACTGGCCCTTTCAATATTAGTAACGAGCTTTGAGTATTCAGAGCTGAATTTCGTGGTTTCATTGTCATTTCCCTTGTTTCATTTCATTCGCGGTAGGACCTCTTGTAAGTCCGCGCGGGTAGGTACCACCGCCCTGCCTATTTCTGCCGTGAAGCAATAATGCGTTTCGGTTTGAAGGGTAGGGCAGTTGTTGTAACTATACTTGAGACCTTAGAGCTTATATTTCACGGTGGGTGGCGCATTTACGTTGTAAATGTCTATGGGCTCCAGTAACCACTTAACTACTTAACCACAGGTGGGCTGTGAGCTCGTCTACCCATCAATAAAAAAAAATCCGGTCGTCCGGCAAATTGTAAATCGTCCCATTAGTCAATTATTTGCAGTGTCAAACCCGTGTTCTAATTATAGCTCAGGCCGTATTAACTGAAGCCGTAAGCAATGTACGTAGATACATCGCACATACGGTGCGATGACGTCACTTAAGCAAATTATGTAATTTTTCATGAGAAACGTTGGGAAATTCAACATCTTATTACATAATTATTGTAGAGTTCTGCTAGACTATAGATATAAAATAATATTTAAACTACAACTTTAAACTTCATCAGCAAAAGCAAACATATCTCTCGTCTCACTAACTAATAACTATAAAAAAATGTATTTTCTCATATCCAGTTCAGCGTTGACAAAAACGAGCATAAGTGACTTTATAGCACCGTATGTGCGGGCATATATTTCGAATTTTTACTTCTGTTTAGCTTTCGACTATTATTTTTTTTTTTTCATTTTGGAATTTGAGTCCGCGCGGGTGGGTACCGCCACCCTGCCTATTTCTGCCGTGAAGCAGTAATGCGTTTCGGTTTGAAAGGTGGGGCAGCCGTTGTAACTATACTTGAGACCTTAGAACTTATATCTCAAGGTGGGTGGCGCATTTACGTTGTGGATGTCTATGGGCTCCAGTAACCACTTAACACCAGGTGGTCTGTGAGCTCGTCCAGCCATCTAAGCAATAAAAAATAAAAAAAAGATCTGCCTATGTTTCAAAGCTCTCTTCATCTTATACCTTTAACGAGCAATTCTTGTATATATATAATCTGAACCTCGGAAACGGCTCCAACGATTTTCATAAAATTTAGTATACACGGGGATTTGGGGGGCAATAAATCGATCTAGCTACGATTTATTTTCAGAAAATGTTGTTTTATTCGTGTTTTCAATAATCAACTCTTCCCGACATCTATTGGCGAATAATAATACTATTTTTCTTAATTGAGGGCAACTAACCAAGATGGCGTTATAAAAAAAAAAAACGAGCAAAGCTCGGTCATCATCTAGTAATTATAATGTATACAAATTGTAACGAGTTTTCTTGAGTATTTCTGTACCTGAATACGCCTGCGTATGATGTATCCATGCGCTGATCTGCCGGGACCACTCGGTAGAAGAGACCTTTGCACAGGTACAATACCCCGAGGCACGAGACCAGCCATTTGTCTCCTGAAACAAACGCATTTGCTTACAGAAATCGCTTTAATTAATATCGTTCATAAGTTTTTTTTGGTCTATTTCGTGGTGACTCAACTGTCCCTAGACTGGGTTTATAAAAAGAAAATAATGACAACTTCGTAACGTTAATATCTTTTAAATCATTTCGTTTGAATGTTTCTGCATCTGATGTTAAGCGTTAGCATTCTGAGTGTAAAATAAAGTTTGCTTTCCGAATACCATGATATTTTCAATACAACGGAGAAGATTCTGTAGAGAATCTGATTCTAAAATCGAATCTTACAGACTGTGACTGTCTGAATAGCGTACATAGGCGCCTAAGAATCGTAAAGTCGCTTAAAGATTGCGTAAGATACAGACTTGACGTCAGAAAACGTCGAAAGGCGACACTCCAGTCCCAAACGACAGTATTCATACGAACGCGGACGAACGCAAGTGCTCAAATATTATTTCAGTGCTGAAGCAAATATTAGAGTGATTTAAATTTCAACAACATAAAATTCAAACGGTTGTAATGTAAAAATAACGTTATTCTCATAAATATTACAATTGCCTTTTCTTGATTCGAACTACGTGGCGTATGTACGTGATGGATTGAAAATGTAGCCTGTCCGTTCTAGTGTATTCAGTTACATAAAGAGTTCGCGAGGTATTTAACATACTTAATAATTATTAATAATAAGCTATTTGAAAACACGAAAATCTTGTACACAGTTGAGTCGCTTGAGCTTAAGCGAAGCCTTTTTATTTTGGTTTGGTTTGAGTGTAGTTAATAAGCTCAGTGTTATTAATCCCACCTTAAATAAATCTGTCATTTCTATAATTTTTGCTTGTCTCATTTTGTTGGCTTATCTATTGATCCTAATGAAGTCCACGGTTACATTTTCTATAGTAATCAGTATGTGATATGTCTGTGTCTATGAAAATATTTTCTATGGCGGATTTCAGTGAACTTGTTCTTTTCTATTTTTTGTTTACGGTACATGACCCATGAGAAAATCATAGCGCAAGGGAAATTGAAGGTGGATCGTTGATTTGTTAATTATTATTTTCATATCAGATCTTTTTCAATTAGGTCAATAGTACTTCTTTGAACTGAGTTGGTGATAGGATGTTTTCTGAGTCCGCGCGTGAAGGTACCACCACCCTGAATATTTCTGCCGTGAAGCAGTAATGTGTTTCGGTTTGCGGGGTGGGGCAGTCGTCGTATGGTTAAAACTGATACTTTAGAACTCATGTCTCAAGGTGGATGGCGGCATTTACGTCGTAGATGTCTATGGATTCCGGTAACCACTTAACACCAGGTTGGCCGTGAGCTCGTTCAAACATCTACGCAATAAAAAAAAGTAAAATACGTATTTTTCAACATGCTACAACAAAAAAAATCAATAACCAAGACAAAAATAAGTCTCCTCGGCGGGGATCGAACCCCGGTCAATCGCGTCACAGGCGAGCATACTGACCCACTGTACTACCGAAGATTGTTCTGAAATTCATTAAAGTCAAGATCACTTGAATCTAGATTTCCACAATTTCCAATTACAAAATGCACTTGGTGCAATAATGCAACACTGTATCTTTTAAAACATAAGGTCTATAATCCCACAGAGACTAGCTGAAGGTAGTAAGTAATGGGTTAAGCTCGTTTTTAGGACAGCTCCATCTAGCTTATAATTTCTAAAGTTACATTCAAGCCTCAAATATTTATTTCTGAGAGTCGAGAACGACACTAGGTGGAGCTATACAAAATTGTTCAATCTATTTATTTTGTTTTGTTACATGTATGCATGCAATTCCGTTATGATAAAATCGAAATAGCGATCGTGCAATTACAAAATGAAGAAATAAACTAGATTAGTAAACCAGTGTTCGCTTTAATAATATTTTAGAGTTACAGTTTATGAGTTTCGAGAACGTATATAAAAAAATAATTTCCAAGCAAAAACTTTGTTCTGCGCAAAGAAAACTGCGCTTATGTAACGCTGTCAACTCAAAGTTACAGAGCCGCGGCTTCTGCCTCAGGCCACACTATTTTGTTTCGACTCGCCAGTATTACTGCAAGTACGGGCGGAGGTGAGCGTCTACCCAATCCTACACAATATTCCTGCTGCGGCTGCTGCGAATTAAGCACTCAAATTTAATCATTAAACTACTTGTGCAAACAATCAGTTTTCTATATCATAACTCATTTGGTCACGTGTTCACTATTTCCATAAACCATCTTTAGACAAAAGTTTATTTACGAAGTGGTACTTGTGCGTAAAGTATTTAATGTGTGATTTTTGTGGCTCTGCATTAAAAATATTTTGTCCACGTGGTGACCTAATCACACTAGAAACCGTGGGTTATTGTGTGACGTCACGCAATGCTCAATCAGCTTTAGTGTCTCGCGACAGTCACTAGATGACGCGATCAAACATTAATGAGTTTGTATCGTAGTGCAAGCATAGTTTAATACGTAGTAGTCAAAACTATAGAACTTAGATATAGAACAGAATCCTCGTGGTTTCGTTGCAGATGATAATGTAGTGTCATTAATGCTACATCAGCGACCGAGGTCACCGGAATCGCAATTTATTTCGCATTACTAATATTTTCTTAAGGCTTTTTTTCGTAAAAAAAATCCATGCCTGGTTTTCATTATTACAGATTCTGTGGCCGGTGTTCCATGAACACACAAAAGAACGCACTCATGAATCTTCTAGATGCTCAAGACGGACTTTATATGCGAAATAATTCAATACTGTTGTACTAACTTAGTCGTAAGGAAATGTATATATGTACATGACAATTATTCTTTGAAATAAAGTTATCACTATTAATAGCGGCGTTTACATCAAGTAACGAATTGCATGCAGCTTATTTTATCAGTCTACGCTTGTAGACAATTTATTGCTTCTAACGCTGTACCATTAAAATGTAAATACACTTCTGGAAGGACACCAACCGTGTCCTTGTGGGCAGACTTCATGTTAAAAATATACTTTCGAATTTCTGGATAACTAAAAACAGAGATACTCAGTCTTAATCAATAACTTCAACCATTGTTATCAAAGGGCTGTTTTGGTGTCTTATGGTCGTTGGTATCGACAATGGAACTGGTACGAAATTAAATATCAACTGTTTTGTTTAGGTGTTACCTTTTTGGAGTTTACTCCTTTAGAATCGATTTACATATATAGGCCCGGGGTATGAAAATTATGGGGACCAAAATCGTACTAGCATGTCACACGAAATGCGTTATGCGCCTGATTGGCTCCTGATTGCGTGATGCGTGCGCGCGCCAATCAAAATCGTACTAGCATGTCACACGAAATGCGTTATGCGCCTGATTGGCTCCTGATTGCGTGATGCGTGCGCGCGCCAATCAGGAGCCAACGCGCGGCCGCGTTATTGCAGGTGACGCCGGGCTGCTGCGCCGGCAGTCCGCCACAAAGCCTCGTACTGTAACGGCAAACATCGTGAGCAAATGACCTTGACTGCGCAGAACCGAATTTTAGATCACTTTGGTGGTGAGGGTGAGGCGCGACGGCAGGGGAAATCGTATCGAGCGCGTTATTGGTAGATCAGTCGAACCTTGCGTCCCGCACCGCGCCCTCTTCCGCTTGCTCCCAAAAGTACGCTTGCGTACAGTGAAAAGTCTATCGTTATTAATCGTTATAATTGCTTGTTGACTTTGTTGCCATTGCTATTTGTTGATTTTTTATAAAAAATACACTATGCCGCGACAAACTGGTGTAGTATTCAAAAGAAAGGGTAGAAAAATTGTGTACGACGTATATTGCTTCATTATAAAACAGGGGAAGAATGATATTATGGAAAAAGTAAAACAGACTTCGGAAGCAACAAAAACATCAGTGAGTACTGTTAGGTGCATTATTAACGAAGCTAAAGGCTCTGGCTTGCTCATCGTGCTTGGGACTCCGGGTAAGAAAAGATCAGGGAAGAAGAAAGTTACCGGAATGGATAGTTTCGTTCAATCTGTAATAAAAAGATGTAATCATAATAACTACATAACAAGCAGCGAAACTCCGTACCGTAGAAAGGCTTCAAAATTTTAAAGAAGATATACATTTTAATGGCTCGGAATGAAGTTTACGACGAATTATGAAAGAGCTAGGCTTCAGATGGAAAAAAAAACAGAAAATAATCGGAAGCTGGTAATGAAAAAAGTAACATTCGATTACTACGAATCGAATATCTTCAAAAAATAATTAATTATAGACAAAAAAGAAGATCGAACCGACCGAGTCGTAAACTACACCGATGAGCCCTATGTCGACTTATCACGATGAGGCGACTCGGGTGATGAAAACAGTGATGATGATAATGGTCAAGATTATGATAACGAAAAAAAATTACAAATACCAGCTTCGCTTCAACTGACGAAGACCTGGCAACAGCTCTAGTTTTGACTTAATAGAAGGAATATCTATTTTACCCCAAGATTAAATTATTACAATTATTAACCTATATTTTTTGTTGATGTTCAAATATATATAAATACATTATATGTTGATTTTAATAATTTAATGCATTATGACGCAGAGTAAATAATGTTTTTGCACGTGAGTGTACCATGCGCAAACTTACCCCCACTACGTCAACAAATGCTCAAGAAGTTTGCCGGCTCGTACTGATCGCGCGTTTCTCTCATTATTGTATTTTCATATATTTGTTAGTCGTTTGTTTTGTGTCTCGTTAATTTGTTAATAATCTGTAGTGTATCGTGTTGTCGTAATATAGAACTATTTCTCGTATTGTTTCGTTTAATTTTTTATATCCAGTAAACTCCAGTCGTGCGTCGGAGCGGACACACACACTTTTTTTTTACTTGTAATGTTACTTTGCGTTCTTTGTGATCTTAATTTTATTCTAGCGAAACAGCTGAGCGTTTTTTGAAACCTTTCATGTAATTCTCATTTATAGCATAAAGTCCGGTAATTACTATAAAAAAAAAATGAGAGCAGGGTCGTGCGATGTTCAAGTGT